TCGTGGGGGAGAGGGGCTCCCCCGGTCTGCTCTTCTCCGCTCCGGGTGGGCGAGTGGGGGCGCGTCAGTCGATGGCGAGGTGGTCCGAGGGGGCGAGTCCGCAGCTGCCCTTGTGGGCCTCGAAGAGCTCCTGCAGCGCCGCCACGTAACGCGCGTGGAACTCCGACACCTCCTCCTCCGAGGGGACCGGGCGCCGCGGGACGGGGATCGGCTTCCCCACTGAAGAGGGCGCGGGGGGGGGGGGGGGGGGGAGGGAGAGGAGGGAGACCGGCATTAATTGGGGCGGGGGGCACGGGTTTCACATTGCGCGGCATTTGATATGACTGTAACCCACCGGGGGCCCTTCCACGCACCCACATCACCCAGAATACCAATATCTGCCCTCTCTGCTTCGAACTGGGTTATTATAGGGTCCACACTGCCATATAATCCGGTTGTGCGGTCCTGACTTTGCAAGGAGTTGCTCTACCCCAGAAACGCTGTTGTTTTTGTGGTCACAAACCTCCCTCCTTCCTTTTCTCCATCTTCCTCCCCTTCTTCTTCCCTTCTTTCTTCTTGCTTCCCTTCCTCCCTTTCTCTTTTCTTCTCTCCCTTTTTTCTTCCTTCTTTCCCTTTTCCCTTCCTTCCTTCCTTCCCTCTCCTTCTTCTTCCTTCCTTCCTCCCTCCCCTTTCTCCTTCCCTTCTTTTCTTCCTTCCCTCCTTCTTTTTTTTCCTTCCTCCTTCTTCTCTCCTTTCTCCTCCTTCCCTTCCTTTCCCCCTTCCCTCCCTCCCTTCTTTTCTCTCCTTCCTTTCTTCTTCCCTCCTTACTTCCTTAATGCTCTTTTTCCTCCCGTCCTCCCGTCCTCCCTTCCTTTTTCCTTCTGTCCTTCTTTTCTTCCTTCCCTCCTTCCTTCTATCCTCTCTCCTTTCCCCCTTCCCTTCCTCCCTTCTCTTCTCTCCCTCCTTTCTTCTTCCTTCCTTCCTTCCCTAATCCTCTTTTTCTCCCTTCCTTTCTTCCTTCTTTCCTTCTATCCTTCTTTTCTTCCTTCCCTTCTTCTTTTCTCTATTTTCCTTCCCCCTTACTTCTCTCCTTCCTTCGTCCCTCCTCCTTTCTTCTCTCCTTCCTTCTCCTCCCTCCTTCCTTCTTTCCTTTCTTCTTATTTTTTCTTTCCCTTTCTTCCTTCCTCTCTCTCCTCCTTCCTCCCACTTCCTTCCCTCCTTCCTTTCCCTCTTCTCCTTCCTTCCCTCTTCTTCTTCCTCCCTCCTTTTCCTCCTTCCCTTCCTCTTTCTCTTCTCCTCCCTCCTTCCTTCCTTCCCTTTCCTTTCCCCTCCCTTCCTTCCTTCTTTCCTTCTTTCCTTCCTTCCCTCTTTCTTTCCCTTCTTTTTCCTTCCCCCTTCTGTCTCTCCTTCCTTCCTTCCTTCCTTCCTTCCTTCCTTCCTTCCTTCCTTCCTTCCTTCCTTCCTTCCTTCCTTCCTTACCGACGACGGTGAGGGGGGCGTTGAGGGGGAGGATGCCCGGGAGGCGGGGGCAGAGGAGGCCCCTCCCGGCGAAGAGACAGGGCGCGAAGCCCGTGAGCTGCTTGAAGCGGACCTGGAGGCGCCGGCCCAGGCTGCCTTCCCGGAAGCGCGCCTGCCGGAAGATGTCGTTCTCCCCGAAGCAGTACACCGGCACCAGGTCGGCCCTAGGACCCAGATCAGGAATGGGGGGGGGAGAGGGGGGTCAGGGGGGTCCTGGCTCTCGCCCCCCGCCCGGCCCTTCAAAGGGGGGGCTCCACCCCCCGCCCCCCCCTTCAGCCCCCCCCCCCGCGCGCACCCACCCACCCGTGCTGCAGCGCCAGGCGCACGAAGCCCCTCCTCCCGCGGAGACGGACGCGGTGCTCCCCCGGCGCCCCCTCCAGCGACTCCGAGGCCCCGCCCACCACGATGGCCACCGCCTGCCCGGGGCCCCCCCGCAGCACGAAGTCCAGCGACGCCTTGCTCACCGGGATCATCCCTGAAACAAGAAGGAGGGAGGGGGGGAGGGAGGGAGGGGGGGCGTCATTGGGGGGGCAGGGAGGGAGGGGAGGGGGCGAGGGTCTCTTGTTCTCCCCACAGAGGGCTTTGAGGGGGCGGGGCCATCTTTGGCGCCCCCCCTCCCCCACCCCCAAACGGCCTACTGACCCCCCCCCCGGAGACACCACTACAAGGGAGGAACTGGCCCTCCCTTGCTTTTTTCCCCGCCTCCCCTTCTCTTTCTTTTATCCCTTTCTTCCTTCCTTCCTTCCTTCCTTCCTTCCTTCCTTCCTTCCTTCCTTCCTTCCTTCTTTCTTTCTTTCTTTCTTTCTTTCTTTCTTTCTTCTGTCCCTCTCTTCCTTCCTTTTCCTCCTCCTTTTTTTCTTTTTCCTTTTATCCTTCTTTCTTCCTTCTTTCCTTTCTCCCTCTCTTTTCCTCCCTTCCTCTTTCCCTCTTTCTTTCCTTTTTCCTCTTTCTTCCCTTCTTCTTCCTTCCTTTCTTCCCTCCCTTTTCTCTCTCTTCTCTTCTCCTCCTTTTTCCCTCCTTCTCTTCTTTCCTTCCTTCCTTTTTTTCCTCCCCTTCTCTTCTTCCTCTTTCCCCTCCCTTCCTTTCTCTTCTCCTTTCCTTTTCCTTTTTCTCTCTTTCCTTCCTTTTTCTTTTCCCCTCTTTTCTCTTTTCTTTTGTCCCTCTTTCCTTCTCTTCTTCTTTCCTTCCCACGTTTTCAGGCGCCTCTTTTTCCTCTTATCCCTCTTTCCTTCCTTCCTCCTTCCCTCCCTTTTCTCCTCTTTTCTTTCCTTTTTCTCCTCCCCTTCTTTCTTTTTCCTCTCATCCCTCTTTCCTTCTCGTCTTCCTTCCTTCTATCCTCCCTCCCTTCCCTTCCCTCCTCCTCTTTCTTTTTCTTTTTTATCTCTCCTTCCTTCCTTTCTTTTTCTCCTCCCCTTCTCTTCTTCCCTCTTTCCTCCCTCCCTTCCTTTTTCTCCTCCTCTTTTCTTTCTTTTTCCTCTTATCCCTCTTTTCTTCTTCCTTCCTTCTATCCTTCCTTCCTTTTCTCCTACTTTCTTTTTCCTTTTACCCCTCTTTCCTTTTCTTCTTCTTTCCTTCCCACTTTTTCACCCTCCTCTATTTCCTTTATCCCTCTTTCCTTCCTTCCCCTTTTCTTTCCTTTTATCCATCTTTCCTTCTATTGTTTCCTTCCTTTTTCTCCTCCCTTTCTCTTTCTTTTTCCTCTTATCCCTCTTCCTTTCTCATCTTCCTTCCTTCTATCCTCCCTTCCTTTCTTCCTTTTTCTCCTCCCCTTCTCTTCTTCCCTCTTTCCTCCTTCCCTCCCTTTTTCTTCAACTCCTTCCTTTTCCTTCTCCTCTTTTCTCTTTTTCCTCTTATCCCTCTTTTTTTCTTCCTTCCTTCTATCCTTCCTTCCTTTTCTCCTACTTTCTTTTTCCTTTTACCCCTCCTTCCTCTTCTTCTTCCCTCCTTCCCACTTTTTCACCCTCCTCTATTTCCTCTTATCCCTCTTTCCTTCCTTCATCTTTTCTTTCCTTTTATCCATCTTTCCTCCTATTGTTTCCTTCCTTTTTCTCCTCCCCGTCTCTTTCTTTTTCCTCTTCTCTTCTTCCTTCTATCCTCCCTCTCTTCCCTTTTCTCCCTTCCTTCCTTCCTTCCTTCCTTCCTCCCTTCCTTCCTTCCTTCCTTCCTTCCTTCCTTCCTTCCTCCCTCCCTCCCTCCCTCCCCTCCCTCTGCTCACCGGAGCTCATCATGTACTCGCGGTAGACGGGCAGGTGGAAGAGTCCGGCCAGGAGCGCCAGGTGTGGGCGGAGCCCCGGGAAGAGGCGCGAGAAGCCCGTGGCCTCCGTGCAGAAGGCCGAGAAGGCGCCTGCGCAGATGATCCCGTGCGGGTGGGCCCCCAGCACGAAGTTTCGCGAGGGGGGCAGCTCCGCCGTCTTCACCAGCTGGCCAGCAATCATCATCATCATCATCATCATCATCATCATCAAATAAATAAATAATAATCAGTAAACAATAAATAAATAAATAATACAATAAATAATAGACGGAACTCACTGCCTCGGGGCTGGAGGCGGAGACCATCCCCATCAAACCGAACCAAACCCTCCCCCTCCCCCCCCACACACACACCTTGATAGGGAAATAGTCCCTGTGCAGCTCCCAGACTCTCCAGCGCCGCATCCAGTCGCTTGGACGACCGCCTGTCAATCAAAGAAAAGAGCCCGTCACCGGGAGGGGGGAGGGGCCATCTGACTGTCTCTGTGTTGTGAGGAGCCCCCCGCCCATTTCCTCTCTGAGCCCGCCTCACTCTGAGGCACCCAGGCATGGGCAGGCGGAGGGCCGCATCCTCTCTGTTTGGGCACAAGCACTACACTTGTTTTGAGTCTGCACCTGTTCTTCACATTGTGAAGCTGATATGGGCGGGATAGAAATAATGCAAATAAATAAATAAATAAATAAATAAATAAGCCATCCCGGGCCTGGGCCAACTTCGGCCTTCCCCCTCCCCAAAGTGTTTTGGACTTCAACTCCCACCATTCCCAACAGCCTACCTCCTGCCTGCCTCTTTTGTGGCACTGTTCACCCAGCAGGGTGGTTTGATCAAATAAACCTGTTGAACAATCTCCTTGCCTTCAGTGTCTGATTGAATCATGACCCTGGCAGAGACATCTCCAGCTCATCCCCTGTTTTGGGTCTCAGCCAGCACGTCAATGACTTACATCTAGAAATAGTTTTCTAAGATCTACAGAGACACTCGCTGGAACACCCCAGCAAGCAAGAGTCCAAAAGTGGCAGGCTCAAACCCAGAACTGATACCAAATGAGAGACTCCCCCCTGGGCACACAGAAGACGGGGCGACTTGGAAGGCACTGAACAGACTGCGCTCTGGCACCACGAGATGCAGAGCCAACCTCAAGAAATGGGGCCACAAAGTGGAATCCTCGACATGCGAGTGCGGTGAAGAGCAAACCACTGACCACCTGCTGCCATGCACCCTGAGCCCTGCCACATGATGCACCATGGAGGACCTCCTCGCGGCAACACCAGAGGCACTCCAAGGGGACAGATACTGGTCAAAGGACATCTAATCAACTACCAAGCTTGCAAATTCTGTGTGTTTTGTCTGTTTGTTTGTTTTGTTCTGTTAGAAATGTAATACAGTTGACAGGTTGCCCTGACACGACAAATAATGACCCTGGAGAGTTTTGGGCCATTTGGTAATAGAGCAGGCATGGGCCAACTTCTGCCCTCCCTCCAGGTGTTTTGGACTCCAACTCCTACCGGCTGTTAGGAATGGTGGGAGTTGAAGTCCAAAACACCTGGAGGGAAGGCGGAAGTTGGTCCATGCCCGAATCTCTATGTATAGGCTTAGGTTGTAAGAAATTGTGGGAGATGAAGTCCAAAACACCTAGAGGGAGGCCCCAAGTTGGATTGGGCGGCCCTGGTGGTTTCTTCCAGTTCTAGGATTCTATGGCTTATCTCTCAGGATAGCTCAGGCCTGGGTCAACTTGGGCCCTCCCTCCAGGTGTTTTGGACTTCAACTCCCACTATTCCTTACAACCTAAGCCTATACATAGGGGATTCAGGCGTGGGCCAACTTCTGCCTTTCCTCCACCCGGTAGGCTGTTAGGAATGGTGGGAGTTGGAATCCAAAGCACCTGGAGGGAAGGCCCAAGTTGGCCCATGTCTGCTCTATTGCCAAGCAGCCCAAACCTCCAGGGTCATTATTCAGTCACATACTGAAAATAAGAAGATTTGTCCCTTTGGAAGCCGCCCCGAGTTCCTTAAGGGAAGTGGAGGTGGAGGTGAGGGGGGGATGAAAATAATGTTATCATCATCATCATCATCATCGTCGTCATCGTCATCGTCATCATCATCATCATATCATCATCATCAACATAGTGTGAAATGGGGAGAAGAAGGTTTATTTGATCAAACCACCCTGCTGGGTGAACAGTGCCACAAAAGAGGCAGGCTGGAGGTAGGCTGTTGGGAATGGTGGGAGCTGGAGTCCAAAACACCTGGAGGGAAGGCCCAAGTTGATCCATGCCCGAATCTCTATGTATAGGCTTAGGTCGTAAGGAATTGTGGGAGTTGAAGTCCAAAACACCTGGAGGGAGGGCCCAAGTTGGCCGAAGCCTGAGCTATCCTGAGAGGTAAGCCATAGAATCCAAGAACTGGAAGAAACCTCCAGGGCTGCCCAGTCCAACTTGGGCCCTCCCTCCAGGTGTTTTGCACTGCAACTCCCACAATTTCTTACAACCTAAGCCTATACATAGAGATTCAGGCATGGGCTAAATCAGGAGTAGGGAACCTTTGGCCCTCCAGCTGTGGTGGACTTCAACTCCCACAATTCCTTGAGGCTCGGCATTTGCCCCAAAGGCTTACCTTGGCCCAATGCCGAGCCTCAAGGAATTGTGGGAGTTGAAGTCCACCACAGCTGGAGGGCCAAAGGTTCCCTACCCCTGGGCTAAATCCTGCCTTTCCTCCAGCCAGGTAGGTTATTAGGAATGGTAGGAGTTGGAGTCCAAAACACCTGGAGGGAAAGCAGAAGTTGGCCCAAGTTTGAATTTCTATGTATAGGCTTAGGTTGTAAGGAATTGTGGGAGTTGAAGTCCAAAACACCTGGAGGGACGGCCGAAGTTGACCCAGGCCTGAGCTGTCCTGAGAGATGAGCCATAGAATCCTAGAATTGGAAGAAACCACCAGTCCAACCCTTCGGCTATGCAGGAATGTACCATCCAAGCACTCCTTACAGATGCCCAGTCATCAAGAGATGCTATATGGGAATACACCATCAAAGGCCTCCTAACAGATGCCCATTTAGTCTCAGTTAAACGGAGGCCAATAAGCAAATAAATAAGCGCTTTGTTGGGGGGGGGGCGGTTTGGCCCTTCTGTGGCTGTTTGTTGCGGGGATGAAAGGGGAGGGGCGGGGGTCGCCTTTGGAGGGGAGGAGGAAGGAGGGGGGGGGGCGTCGCTGCGCACGTGCCTCTGTGGGGGGTGTCCCAGTCCGCGACCCACCAGGCGAAGTAGAGGACGGAGACGGGCCAGAAGGAGGTGAAGAGCAGGAAGAGGAGCAGCGCCGAGAAGAAGAGACCTGCGGGGGGGGGGGGGGAGGCAGGTCAATGGGTGTATGTGGGGGGGGGGGCAGAGTGACCCCAGGTCCCCCCTCCTCCTCGCAGAGGGGCAAGGAGAGGTCCCCCCCAACAGTCCCGAACCTACCGAAGAAGAGGAAGGTGAGCACCCACTGGAAGACGCTGAGGGCCTCCAGGTGCTTCCGGAGCGCAGGCATCGTGGCCCCCGGTCAGTGGCAGGTCGAGGAGGGGTCAGGGGTCACCACGACTTAAGGCCGAGGAGGAGGAGGAGGGGGGGGCCCTAAAGGGAGGGGCAAGATCAAGGACAGGGCACGCGCGGCGCCCCTCCCTCCTTCCTCCCTCCCTCCCTCTCTCCCTGGCCAAGGGTGGGGCCTCCGGAGCAGCCCCCTTCTTCTTCACGGGAAGACTCCAGGGGAGGGGGCGCGGTGGGCTGGGGAGGGGTCTCCTGGCCGAGATTGTCCCTCGCTGGGGATCCCGAGATGAAGGGACGAGGAAGGGAAGAGTAGGGAGGGAAAGGGTCACACCTGTGGACCCGCCGCCCCGCCCCGCCCCGCCCCGCCCCGCCTTGCCCCGTCGCGCGCACTTTGGCCCCGGGGCAGGTGCCGCCTGAGGCGAGGAGGGGGAGGGGCGGGGCTAGGCGAAGGGTGTCGACCTCACCTTTGGCTTCTGGCCTCCACGCACAAAGGGCGCCAGGTAGGGCAACGCAGGGCAGGGCTCGCTCTCCCTCTCGCCCCCCCCCATCCCATCCTGCCAACCCTGCGAGGAAGGCTGGGGGGCTGGGCAGGCTTAGGCAGAGACCCCCCCCCCCCCCACATACACTCGTGGATTTCTCCTGTGGCCCTTTCCCTCGGCTCTGCCAAGGAATCCCTGCACTGACTCTGAGCTTGAACCCAGGTTCAATTTCTTGGCCAGCCAGGGGATTATTCTTAGGATGTTAATTGATTTAAATGTATTTTGTTAATTTATTATTATTGATAGTTTTCTAAGATCGACAGAAACACTCGCTGGAACACCTCAGCAAGCGAGAGTCCAAAAGTGGCAGGCTCAAACCCAGAACCTCAACCAATGGCTGATACCAAAGGAGAGACTCCCCCCTGGGCACACAGAAGACACTGCTTGGAATCCTAGAATCAAAGAGTTGGAAGAGACCTCCTGGGCCATCATCCAGTCCAACCCCATTCTGCCAAGAAGCAGGAAAATCGCATTCAAATCACCCCCGACAGATGGCCATCCAGCCTCTCTTTAAAAGCCTCCAAAGAAGGAGCCTCCACCACACTCCAGGGCAGAGAGTTCCACTGCTGAACGGCTCTCACAGTCAGGAAGTTCTTCCTCATGTTCAGATGGAATCTCCTCTCTTGTAGTTTGAAGCCATTGTTCCTTTGCATCCTAGTCTCCAAGGAAGCAGAAAGGATGCTCCCTTCCTCCTCCTCCCTGTGGCTTCCTCTCACATATTTATACATGGCTCTCATCATTTCTCCTCTCAGCCTTCTCTTCTTCAGTCTAAACATGCCCAGCTCCTTAAGCCGCTCCTCATAGGGCTTGTTCTCCAGACCCTTGATCATTTTAGTTGCCCTCCTCTGGACACATTCCAGCTTAGAGTCAATATCTCTCTTGAATTGTGGTGCCCAGAATTGGACACAATATTCCAGGTAAAGTGGTCTAACCAAGGAAGAATAGAGCATGGGGAGCAGGACTTCCCTAGATCTAGACACTAGGCTCCTCTTGATGCAGGCCACAATCCCATTGGCTTGAGCAGACTGCGCTCTGGCCCCACGAGATGCAGAGCCAACCTTCAGAAATGGGGCTACAAAGTGGAATCCTCGACATGCGAGTGCGGAGAGGAGCAAACCACTGACCACCTGCTGCAATGCAACCTGAGCCCTTCTTCCACATGATGCACCATGGAGGACCTCCTTGCAGCCACACCAGAGGCACTCCAAGGGGCCAGAGACTGGTCAAAGGACATCTAATCAACTACCAAGCTTGCAAAATTTGTGCTTTGTCTGTTTGTTTGTTTGTTTGTTTTGTTAAAAATGTAATACAAATGTCTGGTTGCTCCTGACACGATAAATAAATAAATAAATGAATAATTGATTGTCTTTCACTGTGTCTGATTTAACTTGGAACCCTTGGGCTTGTCCCTTTGTAAGACGCCCCGAGTCCCTTCGGGGAGATGGAGGTGGAGGTGGGGGGGGGGGTATGAAAATAAAGTCATCATCATCATTATCATCATCGTCATCATATAGTGTGAAATGGGGAGAAGAAAGAGAAGGGAAGAGAAAGAGGAGGAGACGAAGAAGAACGAGGAGAAGTAGGAGAAAGAAAATATGGAGGAGGAGGAGGAGACAGGGGATCCCTGTGGCAGGCAGTTCCACGGGTGGCTTCCTTTGTGTCGCCCCTGAGTGGACTTTTAGGTCGGGAACCAATGCCCAGGCCTTCGAGACCTCGTGTTGTCGAAGGCTTTCATGGCCGGAATCCCTGGGTTGTTGTGTGTTTTCTGGGCTGCCTGGCCATGTTCCAGAAGCATTCTCTCCTGACGTTTCGCCTGCATCTGTTGCAGGTATCCTCAGAGGTTGAGGGGTCTGCCGGAAACGAGGCAAAGCCTGGCTGATTGTTGCCTGAGAGAAGAGCTCTTTCTCCCATCCTGGACATTAGTCCATAGATAAATAGATAGGTAGGTAGATAAGTAGACAGCTAGGTATATAGTTAGGTAGATAGGTAGGTAGCTAGGTAGATAGTTAGGTAGATAGGCAGGTAGGTAGGTAGGTAGGTAGATAAGTAGATAGGTGGATAGATAGATAGATAGATACATAGGTAGGTCGATAGGTAGGTAGATAAGTAGACAGGTGGATAGATAGATAGATAGATACATAGGTAGGTAGATAGGTAGGTAGATAAGTAGATAGTTTGGTAGATAGATAGATAGATAGATAGATACATAGGTAGGTAGATAAGTAGATAAATAGGTAGGTAGATAGGTAGGTAGATAGATACATAGATAGGTAGATAGGTAGGTAGATAAGTAGATAGGTGGATAGATAGATAGATAGGTAGGTAGATAGGTAGGTAGATAGGTAGGTAGATAGATAGGTAGATACATAGGTAGGTAGATACGTAGGTAGATAAGTAGATAGTTAGGTAGATAGCTAGGTAGATAGATAGATAGACAGACAGACAGATAGATAGATAGAGAGAAACTCCAGTTGCCTAGTTTCCAACAGACCTCTCAACTTTGAGGATGCCTGCCATAGATGCAGGCGAAACATCAGGAGAGAATGCTTCTAGAACATGTCCATATAGCCCGAAAGACCTATAACAACCCAGTGATTCCAGCCATGAAAGCCTTCGACAATACATCGCCAGACAGCACGGGAAACTCACAGTAACCCACTTCTAGACCTCCTTCACCCCCCCCCCCCCCAATTCTTGATCCGGCTCTGACCCAAAGGCGCCTTCAACGTGGGACGAAGCCGAGTGGACTTTGCCGCTTCCTCCCACAGGTCAAAGGTGGCCGCCTCCTCGGAGGAGACAAAGGGAGGGGGAGGTTGTGAGTTCGGCCCCTCGGCCCCTCCCTCTTCTTGTTCCCAGGTGAGGTCAGTCTCCCTCCCTCTCCCTCCCTCTCCCCCACAAACACAGCCAGGCAGACACCTAGAGACACGTGGCAGGTGGGCAGGCAGGTGGGCAGCCTCGCTCCCGGGAGGGACTTTGACCCCGGCCACGTCGGGCCTGGCGAGGGGAAGGAAGGTGGCCTCTGCGGTGGTCAAGAGCGCCCCCGCCTGGAGGACTGGCTCCCTCCCTCGCAAGGCCACCCCAAGGGAAAGGGAAAGGGAAAGGGAAAGGGGGGGGGCAATAATATACTCGCCCTCCCAGCCCCCGCCCCGACGTGCCCACCCTCCGAGAATGGGCGTGGCCTCCTCCGCACTGCCCCGCCCCCTTTAGTGGCATGCCAGCCCCCTCCCCTCCCCCCCCCCCCGCTCCGAGGCCCACCGGCTTCCTCCCTCCCTCCCTCCCTCCCTCCCTTCCTTCCGGGATGTCTCTGGAAGCCTTGGGGCCGAAGGGCTTCCGTCCGAATCCGCAGGACCGTTGCAACTGGAGCCAAAGGCGCGCCGTGCCTTCAGAGCCCCCCCCCGCTCCCCCCCAGGAAATAGGGTCCTCCTAGCCCCCTCCCCCTTTTAAAAACTAGCCTAACGCATTGGCTGAAGAGCCGGGTCAAAGTTACTCCCCTTGAGAACAATAACAACAACAAGCACCATCCCGCCCCCCCCCCCGCCTCAACAGTGAAGACCACCCCAGGCCTGGACCCCGAAATGCCCCCCCTCCTCCTTCGTAGGGACAGACTGGGGGGGGGAGTTCTCTTTTGGACTGAAAGACCCATAATCCCCCAACAGGAAGTGTGACCCCATTACTCTGGAGTATTGTTGCCCTGCCCCCCCCCCCAAATGGTCCTGAATCCACTTTTGGATTACTTAAGTCTGAATGTGATAACATTCTCTCTCTTCCCCCCCCCTCCCGTTCCAGGCCTCTTCAGGAACCACCAAGACCCCCCCCCCCACCCTGGCAACCCTCCCCCCCCCAATATATCATATATACCACTTTAATTACCTGTTGGGTTGCTCTTAACTTTGGATTTAAAACCCTCCAGAGAGAGACACATCCTCTGCTCATGTCCAGCATTTATTTTTAAGTTTTAACTATTACATTTGGCCCAGCCGTAGGTTTTTTAGTTCTTGTGTTTATTGTCTACTTGTGAGTTATATCAATTGTAATGTTTGTGTATTGCTTGTTTTTGTTGTGTTGTTGGGCTTGGCCTCGTGAAAGCCGCTCCGAGTCCCTTGGGGAGATGGTGGCAGGGTATCAATAAAGTATTATTATTATTATTATTATTATTATTATTAGTCAGCAGAGCAAGAAAGGGGACAGCTGAAATGGTTGCAGCCCACATTTCTTTCATCCTGTGCCCCATAAGCCTCTGGTGTGGGCCTTCGACCAGTGCAAATCTATGGGTATGTGTTTGGGGTGGCACTGTGATTGGGCCAAGGCCTCAGTTATTATAAGTTTGTATTATAAGATATGTTTGTTTACTGTTTCAATTTGGTTTGGTCTGTTTCTAGGATCCTTAGGGGCAAGTGGCTTGTTTTTGTTGTGTTGTGTTGTAGGACGCAGAACAATGGCTTCAAACTACAAGAGAGGAGATTCCACCTGAACATGAGGAAGAACTTCCTGACTGTGAGAGACGTTCAGCAGTGGAACTCTCTGCCCCGGAGGGAGTGTGGTGGAGGCTCCTTCCTTGGAAGCTTTGAAACAGAGGCTGGATGGCCATCTGTCAGGGGTGCTTTGAATGCAATATTCCTGCTTCTTGGCAGAATGGGGTTGGACCGGATGGCCCAGGAGGTCTCTTCCAACTCTTTGATTCTATGATTCTAAGTGACCATGTGCTCCTGCAATTTGAGGTACAAAGGAAGGCCGAAACGAAGACAAGTCAAACCCGCATTTTGGACTTTAGGAGAGCCGATTTCCAAAAAATGAAGGAAACGCTGAGCAGCATTCCGTGGACACAGATACTAAAAGACAAGGGAGTTACGGATGGATGGGAGTTTCTCAAGAGTGAAATACTCAAGTCACAATTGCAAACCGTGCCAACAAAGAGAAAAAAAGGACAAGTGCAAAGAAGCCAGAATGGATGTCCAAAGAACTTCTAACTGTGCTAAAACACAAAAGAGACATGCACAAGAAGTGGAAAAAGGGGTAAAATGACTTTCTTTTTGTGAGAAGACCGAGGCAAAGAAGGCATTAAGTCGTTCTGCCTTTTCCCTATCATCCCCTGTCAGCATTGCCCCATCTTCTCCTCAAAGAGGCCCTATCGCCTCCTTGTTTTTCCTTTTTCTACTGACATAAGAATAGAAGCCCTTTTTATTGTTTTTAATGTCCCTGGCAAGCCTGAGCTCGTTTTGTGCTTTAGCCTTGCAGACCTTTTCCCTACAAGTGTTGGCTATTTGTTTGAATTCTTCTTTGGTGATTTCTCCCTTTTTCCACTTCTTGTGCATGTCTCCTCTCCACCTTCTCTTCTGCAGCCTAAACACACCAAGCTCTTTAAGACGCTCCTCAGAGGGATTATACATGGTCTCCAGGCTTTTGGTCCTTTGAGTCTCCCTCTTCCTCTGGACCCTTTCCAGGTTAGGGTCCAAAATCTCTCTCTTGAACTGTGGGGCCCAGAACTGGACACTGTGATATTCCAGGTGAAGAGGTCTGACCAGAGCAGAAGAGAGGGGCACCAGGACTTCTTCCTTCGATCTGGACACTGGACTCCTTTGGATTCAGCTCAAAATCCCACTGGCTTTTTGAGCTGCTGCATCACACTCTTGGCTCTTGTTCAGCTTATTCCCCACGAAGACTCCAAGATCTTTCTCACATAGACTGAGGCGGAGACCCCCTCTTTGAGCCTTCCACTTTGAGCCCGGAACCCCTTGCTTCTTGACTCACTTGCAGATCTGCCCTCACTGCCGAGAAGCAAGGAGTGACCTGAGACCATCTCTTCCACATCTATGGAGGCCTTTTCTGTGCGGCCACATTGAGACAGAACCTCCTCACTGCTCCATCCAGTACTTATGAGTCATCAAGGCCAAGCAAAGGTCCCTGGGGCCACTCTTTCCAGGTCTCCAAGGCACTCAACAATCTCCTATTACACCATGTAGCATGACTTTTTGTTCCTGGGTTATAATTGTCAGTATTTCCTAATTGGTTCTATCATAAAAACATGGGAAAAGTTGATGAAACTTCAAAACTTTGTCTTTGTGGGAGGGAGGGAAGGAGGGGCGTCACCCGGGAGAAGCACATTTGCAATAGTTTTTCCATGATTATCTCAATAGAGTTGTAGAATTATAGAGTTGGGAAGAGACCTCATGGGCCATCCAGTCCATGTAACCCAGTGGTTCTCAACCTTCCTAATGCCGTGACCCCCGAATACAGTCCCTCATGTGGTGGTGACCCCCAACCATCACATTGTTTTTGTTGCTCCTTCATAACAGTCCTTTTCCTACTGTTATCAATAATAATGTAAATATCAGATATGCAAGATGTATTTTCATTCGCTGGACCAAACTGGGCACAAATACCCAATGCACCCATATGTGAATGGTAGTGGGGTTAGGGGAGGATTGATCTCATAATTTGGGGGTTGTAGTTGCTGGGATTTATAGTTCACCTATAATCAAAGAGCATTCTGAACTGCACCAGCAATGGATATGAACCTAATTGGCCACATAGAACTCCCATGACCAACGAAAAACACTGAAAGGGTTTGGTGGGCATTGACGTTGAGTTTGGGAGTTGTAGTTCACCTATATCCAGAGAGCACTGTGGACTCACGCAATGGTGGATCTGGACCAAACTTGGCACAAATACTCAATATGTGCAAATGTGGTGGAGTCTGGGGAAAACAGACCTTGACTTTTGGGAGTTGTAGTTGCTGGGATTTATAGTTCATTACAATAAAAGAACATTCTGAACTCCACCAACGATAGAATTGGCTCAAACTTCCCACATGGAATCCCCATGACCATCAGAAAATATTGTGTTTTCTGATGGTCTTTGGTGACCCCTCTGACACCCCTTCGCGACCCCCAGGTTGAGAAACACTGATGTAACCAATTTAACACAGTTTATGCCACAAAAATAAAGTCTCCAGACAGACCTGTAGCCAGGATTTTGATACTGGGGGGCTGAGTTTGATTCAGGGGGTGAGTTTGATCCGGGCGGGGGCTTGCCCGGATCTAACAAACCTTTTGTATCATTACCCCAATACCCCCACCATGCATTTGGGATATATTGAGCATGGTGATCAGATCATGATATGAATAAACATAACAGTTTAAATAATGTACCAGCAAGGCCTACTCCGCTGTCAGCCCTAGCTTCTGCCAACCTAGCAGTTCGAAAACATGCAAATGTGAGTAGATCAATAGGTACCACTCCAGCGGGAAGGTAAGGGCGCTCCATGCAGTCATGCCGGCCACATGACCTTGGAGGTGTCTACGGACAACGCCGGCTCTTCGGCTTAGAAATGGAGATGAGCACCACACCCCAGAGTCAGACATGACTGGACTTAATGTCAGGGGACTACCTACCTACCTACTAAGGCCTTTTCGTGAACCACCATGAGAATTTTGGGGGGGGGGGCTGAAGCCCCTCAAGCCCCCCCCCCCCCGGCTACGGGCTTGTCTCCGGAGTAGAACAACTCCTTTCAAAGGAAGGACCGCACAATGAAACAGGAAATAATACTTTCAAACCAGGAACAGAGCATTTTTCAAATGTTGTTCCATGGTGCAATTGACTGCAAAGCTTGGACGTTGTGGCGTGACCTCCAAGGGACACCCTCACATGCCAATGGCCTGGATTAGGAATCTTCGCACCCCACTCTCCACTGTGGGACTGCTAGCGCTGTTCCCCTTTAAGTCCCTGACTTGTCCCTCAGATGATGCAAAGGGGTTTTGCAACACTTTGTGGGCACAGAGTGCTTGGCTGCAGTTCAGCAGGCCAAAAGCAATGCAGTTAAACAAAGCAAAAGTTCAGCGGTGGGTTTCCCCTCCTTTCCCTGACCCTTGAGTCCCTCCAATGAGAAGAAATTGGCTGGATGGACATTTGCCTGCCGGCCAGGACAACACCACACTGGGACAGGGGAGGGCCACATCTGGCTCAGAGTCAACAGACATCCCTGCTGTGATTAGTCACAAAGAATATTCACAAAGGGTTACTGTAGGTTTTTTTCGGGCTATATGGCTATGGACTAGAGGCATTCTCTCCTGACGTTTCGCCTGCATCTATGGCAAGCATCCTCAGAGGTAGTGAGGTCTGTTGGAAGTAGGAAAAAGGGTTTATATATCTGTGGAAAGACCAGGGTGAGACAAAGAACTCTTGTCTGCTGGAGCTAGGTGTGAATGGGTTGTTGTAGGTTTTTTCGGGCTATAGAGCCATGGTCTAGAGGCATTCTCTCCTGATGTTTCACCTGTATCTATGGCAAGCATCCTCAGAGGTAGTGAGGTCTGTTGGAAGTAGGAAAAAGGGTTTATATATCTGTGGAATGATGTCCAGGGTGGGGAAAAGAACTCTTGTCTGCTGGAGCTAGGTGGGAATATCTCAACTGACCACCTTGATTAATGGCCTGACAGTGCCTAGAGCAAACTTTTGTTGAGAGGCGATATTCACAAACACACACAGGTATATCCAATTCTAGGCTGCATTTGTATGGCTCCAGACCTGGAAGCCATACTCAGGTGTGCAACTCATACAGGTGTGTTTTGTGGGGAAGGAGTCCAGTTGCTGCTCCTCCCATAGTTTTGCCCAGAGAAGCTTCCATGTTTGCTTAGACACACAAAAGGCAGAGGCGATCCATTTCCAATTTATTTTCTGCAAGAAGGTGCTTCAATATGGCCGCCCTTCTGCACACCTGTGGCCATGACCATGAGGCGGAGGCACTTGTTAGCAGTGAGAAAAACTCACCATTGCAAAGAAAAGGAAGATGGCCTTCCAAAGGAAAGAGGGAGGGCCAGCATTCCCCTTTCAGGCCGCCCTCCATCTGTGGTCAGTCTCTCAACCCCTCCCCCTCCTCTTGCCAGGAAGGAAGGGAAAAGGCTCCAACAGGAAGTGGTCCCAATCCCAACTGGTGGCTCTTCTCCTTCCCAGGTCTAGACCAGGACCAGGTGCTTGTCCTCCGGCACGCCGTACTTGGCCTTGTGCTCCTCGAAGAGCTGGACCAGGCTCTGCAGGTAAGTGGCGTGGAGCTCGTCAATGGCCTCGCGGGAGGGGTGGGGGGTCTTGGGCACCGGGATGGGGGCCCCCACTGCAAGGGAGAGAGAGAGAGAGAGAGAGGCAGGAAGCGGGTCAGAGAGGAAGGGGCCATTGAGATAGATGGGTTGCTGCCAGGAGAGGGAGGGGCCCAAGCACAGCAGGGGTCACCCAAAAGGAATAATACTAATAATAATATCATCATCATCATCATCACCACCACCACCGGGTTGCTGTGAGTTTTCCGGCCTGTCTGGCCATGTTCCTGCAGCATTCCTTCCTGATGTTTCACCTGCATCTGTGGCAAGCATCCTCAGAGGTTTGGAAATGAGGCCAGTGGAGTGTATGTATGTCTGAAACATCCAGGGTGGGAGAAAGAACCCGTGGCTATTTGAAGCCAGTGTGAATGTTGCTATTAGCAATCTTGAATAGCATTGAGTAGCCCTGAAGCTGCAAAGTCAATCAGTGAGGATTTTGGCCTGCATCAAGAGGAGCCTAGTGTCTAGATCTAGGGAAGTCATGCTCCCCATGCTCTATTCCGCTTTGGTTAGACCACACCTGGAATATTGTGTCCAATTCTGGGCACCACAATTGAAGGGAGATGTTGACAAGCTGGAATGTGTCCAGAGGAGGGCGACTAAAATGATCAAGGGTCTGGAGAACAAGCCCTATGAGGAGCGGCTTAAGGAGCTGGGCATGTTTAGCCTGAAGAAGAGAAGTCTGAGAGGAGATATGATAGCCATGTATAAATATGTGAGAGGAAGCCACAGGGAGGAGGGAGCAAGCTTGTTTTCTGCTTCCCTGGAGACTAGGACGGAACAATGGCTTCAAACTACAAGAGAGGAGATTCCATCTGAACATGAGGAAGAACTTCCTGACTGTGAGAGCCGTTCAGCAGTGGAACTCTCTGCCCCAGAGTGTGGTGAAGGCTCCTTCTTTGGAAGCTTTTAAACAGAGGCTGGATGGCCATCTGTCAGGGGTGATTTGAATGCAATATTCCTGCTTCTTGGCAGAATGGGGTGGGACTGGATGATGGCCCAGGAGGTCTCTTCCAACTCTTGGATTTATTGATTCTATGAGGGTCTCTGCATAGAGGTCACCTGGCTGTTGTTGCCTGGGGGCATCCAAACAATCAAACTGCCTGTTCACACTTCCCAAACAAAGGATGCCTCCAGGCACAACAGCCAGGCCACCAACCTAGACATGGCATATTATTTGAGAACAGAAATGCTGGACCACTCTCACAACCACCACATCAGGGTACACAGAGAAGCCACTGAAATCCACAATCAGCACGGGGACAATTTCAACAGAAAAGAGGAAACTATGGAAATGAACAAAGTCTGGCTCCCAGTATTACAAAAACTCTAAAATTATAACAGTAAATAAAGAACAAAACTCAAACACAGGGGAACTCCAGACAGGAAACATTGAGGAACAGCTAATCACCTCTCAACAAATAATTCCTCCAGGCAGTAACAAGCCAGTCCTCACGGATAGACTTTGCAGCTCCTCCGTGCTATTCAAGCTTGCTTATTGCAACACCCACGCTTGCTTCAAACAGACAAGGGTTCTCTCTCCCACTCTGGACATTATTCCACAGACAGATATATACACGCTCCACTTGCCTCGCTGCCAACAGACTCCTGAATGTGCCATTATCCACAGATACGGGTGAAATGTCAGGAGAGAATGCTGCTGGAACATATTGGCCAGGCTGCATGAACTATTCACAACAACCCAGTGATTCTGGCAGTGAAACCTTCAACAACATATTATTTTTATTGATACCCTGCTTTCCTCTCCACAAGAAGACGTCCCCCTCCCCAACTTCCCTGCAAGGCGGGGGTCTTCAGCCCGCCCTCCTCTCTCCCCTCTCACTTCTCCCATGGCTTGGCCTTCACACATTTGAGAGAAAGATCAGCCAAGCAGCCTCAGGGGGGTGGGAGTGGGGTTGTTGCAAGGCAAAGTCCAAAGACACCCCCCCCCCCGGCTCCCACAGCAACGGAGGGTTGCAACACTCAGGACTGAGTGGATGGGGAGTGTTGCGTCAGCCGGACTCTGGCAAGACTGGCAGTGAGTGGGGCAGAGGGCCAAGGGTCAGGCTGAACGGGGCTTGGGGGGGGGGCTTAAAGGGGACGGCAGGGAAGCCACTGACTATATACACCATGTAACACTATTTTTGTTCCTGGGTTATATATCTCATTTCCTAACTACAGCATATTATATTATATTATATTATATTATATTATATTATATTATATTATATTATACTATATTATGTTATATTATATTATATTATATTATATTATATTATATTATATTATATTATACTATACATTACATTACATTACAATATAATATATCACATAATCGAGTCTCAACCAATTCCACCTAGTTTGTTTGTGGCAGCCACAAAAATGAAGTTTCTGGAGTAGAACTACTACTTCCAAAGGAAGGACTGCACAAGTAAACGGGAAGTCACACTTTTTCAAACCAGGAAAGAAACTGTTTTGCAAATTTGGTTACATAGTGTTATGGCACACTGACCACCAGGAGACCCCTTCTGGGGAGGGGGAAGTGAGGACACACTCACTCTCTCGTTCACTCTCTTGCTCACTGCCTATCACTTACTCTCTCGCACTTACTCTCTTTCTCACTCACTCATTCACTCTCGTTTGATCATTCTCACTCTCACTCATCTCGCTCACTCCATTGCGACACACTCACTCTCATTCACTCACTCTCTTGCTCACTCGTGCTTTAACTCTCTCATTTTCTCGCTTGCTCACTTTTGCTTCTCACTCACTCTTGCTCACTCTCATGCTCTTGCTCACGCACTCATGCTCCCTCATTCTCACTCACTCTTTCGCTCATTCTTTGTCACTCATGTTCTCTCACTCACTTGCTCACTCACTCCCTCCCTCTTGGTCATACGCTCTCACTCTTTTGCTCACTCTCACTCACTCTTTCGCTCATTCTCTGTCACTCATGCTCTCTCTCACTCACTTGCTCACTCACTCCCTCTTGGTCATACACTCTCACTCACTCTCTCTTGCTCACTGCCTATCACTTGTTCACTCACTTACTCGCACTTACTCACTCTCTTGCTTGATCACTCTTTCTCACTCCATTGCGACACACTCACTCTCATTCACTCATGAGTGAGTGAGAGTGAGTGGCAAGCAAGCAATAGAGAGTGAGCAAGAGAGTGAGTGAATGAGAGTGAGTGTGTCGCAATGGAGTGAGAGAGAGTGATCAAGAAAGAGTGAGAAAGTGCGAGAAAGTTAATGAGTGAGCAAGTGATAGGCAGTGAGCAAGAGAGTGCATGAGAGAGTGAGTGTGTCCTCACTTTAACTCTCTCACTTTCTTGCTTGCTCACTCTTTTGCTTCTCTCACTCACTCTCATGGTCTCTTACTCGCTAACTCACTCTTGTGCTCACTCACTTTTGCTCACTCACTCATGCTCTCTCACTCTCTTGCTCACTGCCCATCACTTACTCACTCTCTCGCACTTACTCACTCTCTTTCTCACTCATTCACTCTCTTGCTTGATCACTCACTCACTCTCCCTCATCTTGCTCACTCCATTGTGACACACTCAGTCTCATTCACCCACTCTCTTGCTCATTCACTCTCACTCACTCATGCTTTAACTCTCTCACTTTCTCGCTTGCTCACTTTTGCTTCTCTCTCACTCATTCTTGCTCACTCTCTCATGCTCTCTCACTCGCTCACACTCTCGGGCTCACTCACTTTTGCTCACTCACTCATGCTCTCTCACTCTCTCTCACTCACTCTTTCGCTCATTCTCTGTCACTCATGTTCTCTCACTCACTTGCTCACTCACTCCCTCTTGGTCATACACTCTCACTCTTGCTCACTCTCTTGCTGACTCACCAACAGTGTGGATGGGCCTACGGAAGGGGAGGAGGCCAAAGTCGTACTGGAAGACCCCGCGAGCGTGGAAGAGGGGCAGTGCCAGCCCCATGACCCTCTGGAGCCGCTCCTGCACTGCGCGGATGAGGGAGCCCCGCGGGTTGGAGACCTGCAGGAAGAGCTCGTTCTCCCCGAAGGAGAAGACCGGCACCAGCGCCGCCCTGAAAAAGAGGGGGTGAGGGGGCAAGAGAGAAAGGTCAGGGGGCGAGAAGGGGCACTTGACCCCAACACAACACACTCTTCCAAAGGCCAATCCCACATCCAAGGAATGTGACCCTTTTCTCGTCACTAAGCCATCTGCCCTCGAGGGGGTTCCCCTCCCCCCTCCCCACAAGGACCCCCCTTTTGGGAAATCTCTCTGTTGACCGGCCAAATACCAAACCTGCTAGGATTGGAATTACCTTCAAGAAAATGAAGGTGTCAGCCTCCGAGGAAGAATACGCAGCAGAGTGGGCAGACCAACATTGGGAGGGGGCTTCAAGAGATTGAGTCCCACCCACCCAACCCCTAATTCCTTTCCATTGGCACTCCCATATCAGAGACCAAAAAGGAGACCACGTGGGAAAAGGTCTCCAAAGTAGGTTTCCTTTCCAAACGTGTGCAAGGGGCATCACGCAGGTGACAGGCTCTCTTAGGTAGAAGTAAAGGTAGGCTCAATCCAAGAAGGACAAAACCTAAACTGGGTAAAATAGGAGACTCCCCCCAGCTCTCTCCTTAGTGAAGAGATAGAGAGAGAAGCCTTCTCCCCTCATGGCCAGGAAAAAGAAGGTCTGCCTACGTGACCTCCGTGACCTCCGGCATGGAGATGCCCCAGAAGGAGTCTCTGGCAATCATCCAACAGGAAGAAGGCCATAAAACAGGCAGGTGAGGGGGCCAGAACCCCAACAAGAGCCCCCCCCCCACCCTCCGCTTACCCATGTGTGAGTGCCATCTTGATGAAGCCCTTCCGGTGGAGGACCTGGAGGGTGAGGGCCCCCGGGCGGGCCTCCAGGGACTCAGAGGGGCCCCCCACCGCAATGACCGCCACCTGGCCCCCTCCCTCGTGGCTCAGGAGGAAGGCGGCACTGGCCTTGTCCGAGGAGACCAGCCCTGTGGAGAGAGAGAAAGGGAGTCTGTGGGCTGGGATGGACACTTGGCCTGACATCTCTTGACCATGTGCCAAATGATGACACCCATCAAAGACTAGGAATAAAATGCAGACAGATGGAGAGATAGTGTTGTAGCACAGCAAGCGTCGAAGCATTTGTAGGGAAAGGAGGGATTTCTAAATGAAGAGTTTGTGTGATCGGAGAGAACTGCAGGCAGATGGGACAGGTGAGATCCATGTTTTGGATTCCGTTCCCAGGCAACTGGGAAAAGTGAGAGTCCTTCGGCAGATGGGAAGTTTTCCCAGGAAACTAGATTAGGCCTGAGAACGGAGGGAGTCAAAAACAGACAAACTAGATAATCTCACAAAATTTGTGGGAAGACCTTGGAGTCCAGGTGTGTTCAGCATGATGTCTGGCTTCAAGCCTCTCAGACAGACAGACAGACAGACAGACAGATAGAGATAGATAGATATAGATAGATATAGATAGGTAGATAGATAGGTAGATAGAGGTAGATAGATGTAGGTATAGGTAGGTAGGTAGATATAGGTAGATATAGGTAGGTAGGTAGATATAGGTAGGTAGGAAGATATAGGTAGAGATAGGTAGGTAGGTAGGTAGATAGGTAGAGATAGGTAGGTAGATAGGTAGATAGGTAGATGGATACATAGATAGTCAAGTAAGTAGGTAGGTAGGTAGTCAGATAGCTAATCAGATGGACAGACAGATATATAGAGACATTCATAGGGTTAGGGTTAGAACAGTGGTTCTCAACCTTCTGAATGCCGTGACCCCTTACTATAGTTCCTCATGTTGTGGTGACCCCCAACCATAAAATTATTTTCGTTGCTACTTTATAACTGTAATGTTGCTACAGTTATGAATCGTAATGTGGGGTTGGGGGTGGGAATGATTTTCTCATTTGGGAGTTGTACTTGCTGGGATTTATAGTTAACCTATAATCAAAGAGCATTCTGAACTCCACCAACAATGGAATTGAACCAAACTTGGCACACAGAACTCCCATGACCAACAGAAATTACTGGAAGGGTTTGGTGTGCATTGACCTTGAGTTTTGGAGTTGTAGTTCACCTACATCCGGAGGAGTGCTGTGGACTCATGCAATGGTGGATCTGGACCAAACTTGGCACCATAGAATCAAAGAGTTGGAAGAGACCTCCTGGGCCATCATCCCGTCCAACCCCATTCTGCCAAGAAGCAGGAATATTGCATTCAAAGCACCCCTGACAGATGGCCATCCAGCCTCTGCTTCAAAGCCTCCAAAGAAGGAGCCTCCACCACACTCCGGGGCAGAGAGTTCCACTGCTGAACGGCTCTCACAGTCAGGAAGTTCTTCCTAATGTTCTAACCCAAACATTGGGTTAGAAGTAGGTGGCCCGTGAGAGAGTGGGGGTCTCTCTCCAGGACCCCTCCCTCCCTCCCTCCCTCTTGGCATTGCTCTCACCTCCGCTCATGATGTAGTCGCGGAAGAAGGGCACCTTGAACCAGAAGGGCAGCATCAGGAGGTGTGGCGTGAGTCCCGGGAAGAGCTCCGAGAAGCCCGTAGCCTCCGTGCAGAAGTTCCCAAAGGCCCCCGCCACCAGGACCCCGTGCGGGTGGAAGCCAAAGAGGTAGTTGCGCCGCGGGTCCAACTCTGCCGTCCGCACCAGCTGGGAAGGGGGAGAAAAGGGGAAGAATTGGGGTCAGTGGGGAGGGGGGGCTCTCTCCAGGGGGACAGACAAAAGGATGAGAGCCCCCCCCCGAGACCCCAGCCTCTGATTGGGATGGGGAAGGAGCATTGGAAGGAAATGTAACATGAGAATAGTAAACTATAATATGATATTGTCGAAGGCTTTCATGGCTGGAATCACTAGGTTCTTGTGGGTTTTTTCGGGCTATAGAGCCATGTTCTAGAGGCATTTCTCCTGACGTTTCGCCTGCATCTATGGCAAGCATCCTCAGAGGTGTGAGGCCCACTACCTCTGAGGATGCTTGCCATAGTGCAGGCGAAACGTCAGGAGAAATGCCTCTAGAACATGGCTCTATAGCCCGAAAAAACCCACAAGAACCTTATAATATGATAATAAAATATAAGAATGCCAAATTAAATATGGTAACAGTAGAATAAAACCTGCCGTGATAAAATAATAAAACATTAAAATGATATAATGTGGAAATAATAAAATATAACATGACGATAAAATAATACAATCTATATAAATAAAAATGTCATGTTCGTTTGTGGTATTAACAAAACTCAAAAACCACTGGGGGAATTGACACTAAATTTGGACACAAGGCACCTAACAACCCAATGTATGTCCTTCACTCAAAAAAATTCGAGTTTGTCATTTGGGAGTTGTAGTTGCTGGGATTTATAGTACATGTACAAGCAAAGAGCATTCTGAACTCCACCAATGATGGAATTGAACCAAACTTGGCACCCAGTTCTCCCATGACCAACAGAAAACTCTAGAAGGGTTTGGTGGGCATTGACCTTGAGCTTGGGAGTTGTAGTTCACCTACATCCAGAGAGCACTGTGGATTCAAACAATGATGGATCTAGACCAAACTCTACAAGAATACTCAATATGCCCAAATGTGAACACTGGTGGAGTTAGGGAAAATAGAATATTGGCATTTGGGAGTTGTAGTTGCTGGGATTTATAGTTCATTTAACAATCACAGAGCATTCTGAACACCACCAATGATAGAATTGGGCCAAACCTTCCACATAGAACCCCCATGTTGTCCACAGCAACGCGTGGCAGGGGATGGCTAGTATAATGATAAAATATTCAAATAACATAATATGAAAATAATAATATAACAGGATAATAATAAAATATAAGAAATTAAATATGGTAACACTGGAATAAAATATGACATAACACAACAAAATATAATTGTGTAAAATCAAGTATAATTGCATGGGAATGAACTACCACATGATAATTGAAATTAAAATAATGAAAAATAATGAAAAATTAAAAATAATAATGCATTGTCGAAGGCTTTCATGGCCGGAATCACTGGGTTGTTGTAGGTTTTTTCGGGCTATATGGCCATGTTCTAGAGGCATTCTCTCCTGACGTTTCACCTGCATCTATGGCAAGCATCCTCAGAGGTTGTGAGGTCTGTTGGAACTAGGAAAATGGGTTTATATATCTGTGGAATGACCAGGGTGGGACAAAGAACTCTTGTCTGCTGGAGCTAGGTGGGAATGTTTCAACTGATGACCTTGATTAGCATTTGATGCCCTGGCAGCGCCTGGGGCAATCTTTTGTTGAGAGGTGATTAGATGTCCCTAATTGTTTTCCCTCCGTTGTGACCCTTCACTACCTCTGAGGATGCTTGCCCTGGATGCAGGCAAAACGTCAGGAGAGAATGCCTCTAGACCAGGGGTCCTCGAACTTTTTGAACAGAGGGCCAGGTCATAGTCCCTCAAACTGTTGGAGGGCCGGATTATAATCTGAAAAAAGCATGAATAAATTCCTATGCACACTACACACATCTTATTTGTAGTGCAAAAACTTAAAAACAATACAATAATTAAAATGAAGAATAATTTTAACAAATATAAACTTATTAGTATTTCAGTGGGAAGTGTGGACCTGCTTTTGGTTCATGAGATAGGATTGTTATTGTTATTGTGTGCTTTCCAGTCGTTTCAGACTTAGGTTGACCCTTTGCGAGGGCCGGGTAAATGACCTTGGAGGGCCGTATTCGGCCCTCGGGCCATAGTTTGAGGACCCCTGCTCTAGACCATGGCCATATAGCCCGAAAAAACCTACAACAACCCAAAAATGATAATATTCAGATAATTCAAATAATTACAATATGAAAAAATAAATTATGATGATAGTAATAATAATTTAAGAAGGGTGCAAGGGGCAGGGTCCAGGGCTGAGAGGGGTCCCTGTGGTGTCTCTCCGATCCCAAAGGGCAGCCCCACCCTCCTGAAAAAGTCACCCCCCAAGAAGTCCCCCGCCTACTGACCGTGATGGGGAAGTAGTCCCGGAAGTGCCTCCAGACGGCCCACCGGCGGACCCAGGCGGAGCGGCGCCCACCACGGGCGGGGGTCTCCCAGTCCAGGTAGAGCCAGGCGGCATAGAGCGCGGCCAACGCCCAGCCCTCGCCCACCAGCAGCACCCCAAAGAGCAGCAGGCAGCATTGCGCTGGGGGGGGGGGGGGGGGGGAGAGAGAAGAGAAGAAGGTGGTGGGGGTCAGCAGAGGGAGGAATGGGGAAAGGATTTGCTATAACACAGCGTTTCTCAACCCTCCTCATGCCGTGACCCCTTAATACAGTTCCTCATGTGGTGGTGACCCCCAACCATCAATTTATTTTCGTTGCTACTTCAGAAGTGTCATTTTGCTACTGTGATGAATCGTCATGTAATTTTCATTCACGGGACCAAATTTGGCACAAATACCCAATACGCCCACATTTGAATACTAGTGGGGTTGTGGGGGGATTAATTTTGTCATTTGGGAGTTGTAGTTGCTGGGACTTTTAGTTCACCTACAATCAAAGAGCATGCTGAACTCCACCAATGACGAATCAACCTTGGCACACAGAACTCCCATGACTTGAAGGATTTCGTGGGCATTGACCTTGAGTTTGGGAGTTGTAGTTCACCTACATCCAAGGAGCACTGTGAACTCAAACAATGATGGATCTGGTCCAAACTTGGCACACAGAACTCCATTGATCAACAGAAAATACTGGAAGGGTTTGGTGGGCATTGAACCTGAGTTTGGGAGCTGTAGTTCGCCTACATCCAGACAGCACTGTGGACTCAAACAATGATGGATCTGGACTAAACTTGGCACAAACACTTAATACGCCCAAATATGAACACAGATGGAGTTTGGGGGAAATAGACCTTGACATTTGGGAGTTGTCGTTGCTGGGATTTATAGTTCTCCTACAATCAAAGAGCATTCTGAACTCCACCAAGGATGGAATTGAACCAAACTTGGCACACAGAACTCCCATGACTTGAAGGATTTGGTGGGGTGTTGTAGTTTGGGTTTGTTGTAGTTTGGGAGTTGAGTTTGGGAGTTGTAGTTCACCTACATCCAGAGAGCACTGTGGACTCAAACAATGATGGATCTGGACCAAACTTGGCACACAGAACTCCATTGACCAGCTTTTGATCTTTGTTAATTTTATCAATATCTGTATGTATGTATTTTTATCCTTTACAATTTTAGCTTGTAAATCGCCTAGAGCATCTTGGATGGAGGGCGATTAATAAGTAATTAAATGATGATGATGATGATGATGATGATGAAAATACTGGAAAGGTTTAGTGGGCACTGAACCTGAGTTTAGGAGTTGTAGTTCACTTACATCCAGAGAGCACTGTGGACTCAAACAATCACGGACCCAGACCAAACTTGGCATGAATACTCAATATGCTTGAATATGAATGTTTGTGGTGTTTGGGGAAAATAGACCTTGGCATTTGGGAGTTGTAGTTGCTGGGATTTATAGTTCACCTACAATCAAAGAGCACTCTGTATCCCACCAATGATAGAATTGGGCCAAACTTCCCACACAGAACCCCAAGAACAATGGAAAATACTGTCTTTTCTGGTGGTCTTTGTTGACCCCTCTGACACCCCCTTGCGACCCCCCCCCAGGGGTCCCAACCCCCAGGTTGCAGAAAATATACTATTTTGAAGACAAGGCTGGATTACTTTAAGTGCTGCAAGTGCCGATTCACAGTAATTAAGGAGAATGAGACCCTGAAGTGAGGCCTGCATCAGGTGCCTGAGATAATGAAGACATGGATGGAACATGGCCTCATTCAAGAGTATATAAGAAACCCAAGCCCCCAATTGAGTAAGTGGCATGACAGGTGATGAATGGCAAAATGGAGGATTCTGGAGGGAGCTGTGACTATTGGAAAATGCTGCAACAAAAGGTGAAACCTTCCTGTGGAAAGAAGCTCTGCGTCTGCAGTTGATTGCAAGCATTGCGCACATACTACAAACCACTCACGGGCAAACTTTGGCTTTCCCTCCAGGTGTTTTGGACTTCAACTCCCACAATTTTGATATTGACAAGGTGGAATGTGTCCAGAGGAGGGCAACTCAAATAATCAAGGGTCTGGAGAACAAGCCCTATGAGGAGCGGCTTCAGGAGCTGGGCATGTTTAGCCTGAAGAAGAGAAGGCTGAAAGGAGACATGATGAGAGCCATGTATAAATACGTGAGAGGAAGCCACAGGGAGGAGGAGGGAGCAAGCTTGTTTTAAGCTGCCCTGGAGACTAGGACGCAGAACAATGGCTTCAAACTACAAGAAAGGAGATTCCATCTGAACATTAGGAAGAACTTCCTGACTGTGAGAGCCGTTCAGCAGTGGAACTCTCTGCCCTGGAGTGTGGTGGAGGCTCCTTCTTTGGAAGCTTTTAAACGGAGGCTGGATGGCCATCTGTCAGGGGTGCTTTGAATGCAATATTCCTGCTTCTTGGCAGAATGGGGTTGGACTGGATGGCCCATGAGGTCTCTTCCAACTCTATGATTCTAGGATTCATAGCACATGGTATTCTATGGCCATATAGCCCGAAAAAACCACAACAACCCAGTGATTCTGGCCCAAGAACCTCTCAGGCCATGAGTGACCAATCACTCAGAAACCAACCCAAAAAACAGTGTGAACAAAAACAAAAACCCCAGATCAGATCAAAGACATGGCAGCAGGACAGGAAACAGGAAAGGGCAGAGACCATCAGTATAAATGCAACAGTGTTAAATTTAGAGTTTGGGGTAGAAGGGAAGAAGCAGCTGTAAAAACCATGTGAAGGAGAAGTGAACAAGTACTGACAAAAGAGATGAAGGACGGAAAGAGGCATGACGGAAAGGCGGGGCAGAAGGAGAGAAAAGGACGGTAAGGAAAGAAATAAAGAAAGGAATCTTGAAGGGAAGGTAGTGGAAAAGGCTGGTAAGGAAATTCATAGTTTTGCCAAGGTCTCTAAGCTGGAATGATATACTGTATATATACACCTGATAATTATATAGAAGAAATAAAAATGTTAAGTAAGTAATGGTAAGGAGGAGAGAAAATGGGATGGAAGGAAAGATATAAGAAAGATCTGGCCATCTGACAAGTTATGAAGCTTGAAAAAAGAATGAAGAAAGAGATAAAGCTTATGACCATGGGCGGATGTCCAGGAGTATAAACACTACAGTAGCAACAAATGTGAAGGAAGCAAAGTATTACAGCAGTGCTTTTTTAGAGAAGTATAGAAATACAGTGTATGAATTACATATGAGTAATTCCTTTTTGGGGCAAAGTTCAGAGGGAAAAGGTAGGGAAAAGGAGAGAAAGAAGAAGATAAAGAAAAGAGGGAATGAAGATAAGGTAGAGAAGGAAGGAAGGAGATAAAGAAAGAAAAAAGGGAAGGAAGGAAAGAGGGAGCGAAGGATGGAAGCCAAAAACGAAGGAAGGAAGTAGGGAAGGAAGAAATGAGAGAAAAAAGAGATAAAGAAAGAGGGAGAAGGAAGGAAAGGTAGAGAAGGAAGGAGAGAAGGAAAGGAAAAAAGGGAAGGAAGGAAAGGAAGGAGGGAAAGGAAGGAAGGAAAGAGGGAGGGGCGGTTGGCCACAGCAACGTGTGGTAGGTACAGCTAGTAATAAATAATAAAATAATAATATAATAATATAAAATAATAATATAATAACATATAAATATACATAAAATAATAATAGACAAATAATAATAATAATAATAATATAAAATAATAATAATATAATAATAATAACATAAAAATATAAATATAATAATAATAATAATAATAATAATAGTAATAATAGTAATAGAGGGGTCCTGGTCTGGCCCAGCCTTTCCCCCTGCGTGTGGAGGGAGGGAGGGAGGGGGGCGCTCTTGAGCCTCGCGTGGGACCCACTCACCGAGGGCCAGGAAGGAGAAGACCCATTGCAGGACGGCGGCCGTCTGGAGTCGGCGGCGCAGGGGGAGGCGCAGGGGGGCGAACTGCGGCCACATCGCCGGCCGGGAGACCAGGGAGGGAGGAGGAGAGGGGAGGGGGCTGGCCAGGGGAGGGGGCTTATCAAGGCTCCCCGGCCACGCCCCTCCGACACGCCCCCGGGCTCCCATTCGCCGGGACCTCCCCCCGGCCGCCCAATTAGCGGGTGGGCACCACCCCCAGGCCCCTCCGCACCTGGGAAGGGGAGGGGGCTCACCTGAGCCAGAGGTCGCCGCCCTCGCCTTCCCAAACGCGCTTCCTGGGGTTGAGGGGAGTTTTCCGGGCTGCAGGGCCAAGAGATCCCAGCTGCACTCGCTCCTTGGCGTTCCGCCTGCAGCTGTGGCTCAGCGAAGCACACCCAAAGGGGCTCTTGCGCGTATTGATTTTATGTTGGCCACATATGCAGGTGAAACATCAGGAGAGAATGCTACTGGAACATGGCCATGCAGCCTGGAAAACTCACAGCAAAACAGTGATTCTGGTTGTGAAAGCCTTGGACAAGACATCACACTTCCACAGGTGTATATACTCCACTTGCCTCACTTCCAACAGACCTCTGAACAAACCTCTGAGAATGTTGGCCACATATGCAGGTGAAACATCAGGAGAGAATGCTACTGGAAGATGGCCATGCAGCCTGGGAAACTCACAACAAAACAGTGATTCTGGTTGTGAAAGCCTTGGACAATACACCACACTTCCACAGGTGTATATAGATACTCCACTTGCCTTACTTCCAACAGACCTCTGAACAAACTTCTGAGAATGTTGGCCACATATGCAGGTGAAACATCAGGAGAGAATGCTACTGGAAGATGGCCATGCAGCCTGGGAAACTCACAACAAAACAGTGATTCTGGTTGTGAAAGCCTTGGACAATACATCACACTTCCTTGGATTGCAGCTCCCACCAACGTCCCTCCTTCCTCATTAAGTTGTCTCAACCCGCAAGAGTTATTTAGGAATTATTTTATTTCCTATTATACTAATCCAATTAAGAGTTGCAACGATCAACCGAAGAACAGGCGAAGGATAACGCTATGTGACATTCAGGGAAAGAATATTCTGTGCCTGGTTTGAAAATGTCATTCCCTCTTTAATTGCATGGCCCTGACTTTGAAAGTCGTTGTTCTACTCCAGAAACCTTTGTTGTTGAGGGTAGTGTGACTGTCTCCTACAGTCTAGGCCAGGCCTGGGCCAACTTCAGCCCTCTCTCTCTCCAGCTGTTTTGGACTCTGTTCTGGAACAGCTGTTCCAGGAGCTCCAGTTTTATTTGCTTTGAATTAAATGTTGGTTTGCAATCCCAGGCTTGGGATTTTGCAGTAGGGTGGCTTCCTGTTATAGTTTGCAATCATAGGGCAAGCCACCTGTCTATTATAGTTAGGATCCCTGGTCCCGCCCCTCTCTGGGTTTTTTGGAGGGAAGGGGCCATTTTTCCGTTAGTCTCAGCAAAGAAAGTCAATGCAGAGGATGTACGCAAGCGTGACTAAATTTGTCACAAATACCCGATACGCCCAAATTTGAACACTGGGGGGTTGGGGTGGATTGATTTTGTCATTTGGGAGTTGTCGTTGCTGGGATTTATAGTTCACTTTCAGTCAGAGAGCATTCTGAACCCCACCAAAGAGGAAACCGAACCAGACATGGCACACTGAACTCCCATGACCAGCATAAAATACTGGAAGGGTTTGGTGGGCACTGGCCTTGAGTTTGGGAGTTGTAGTTCACCTACATCCAGAGAGCACTGTGGACTCAAACAATGATGGATCTGGACCAAACTTGGCATGAATACTCAATATACCCAAATGTGAATACTGGTGGAGTTTGGGGAAAACAGACATTGTTATTTGGAAGTTGTAGTTGCTGGGATTTATAGTTCACCTACAATCAAAGAGCATTCTGAACTCTATCAACGATAGAATTGGGCTGGATTTCCCACACAGAAACCCCATGACCAACAGAAAATACGGTGTTTTCTGATGGTCTTTGGTGACCCCTCTGACACCCCCTCGTGACCCCCACAGGGGTCCCGACCCCCAGGTTGAGAAACGCTGCTCTAAAGATTCGCAAAGGTTCCAGGGAAACAGCCTTACAGCCCTGAGGAATTCCGGAGGGAATAACAGCTCTAACCATCAAAGCAGCTAAGTGATTACAAGCCTTTTGATAGGTTTACTCGGCGTTGAGACGCAGTTCAGCCCGGTAGCGAATCCACATCAATAAGGTTTAGGTTCACAGCAGCCTGGGAGGAGCCAGAAAGGGGAATTTTCCTTTGAACAAGGTTTTTGAAGATAGTGCCTGTTCCCTGTGAACAAGATTGCAAGAGCCAAGAGACTGTTAAGAAAGTTTTACAATTCCTGTTTGTTCATCAATAAAACAATATTTAAGCTCAAGCCTCATAAAGACTGTTTAATAAGGGAAATTTCTCTAAAGGCTTCTTTTCGGGCCCCCGGGCTTCCCGCTGGATCCAAGCCATACATCCCCTCTTAAAGGCACTTCATTTCAGGTCCGGTGGCGACAGAACAGACTCCAACTCCCACAATTCCTAACAGCCCGTGGTTTTGTTGTTGTGTGCTGTATGGCCTGGGGGTTGTCCTAATGTCCAAGCTCCATCCCAACGGAGAAGGGAGAGGCACACGGGCAGAAGCTCAGACGTTGTTGATGACGCTTGATTCCTGGTGGCTGAGTCTCCCGAGGTGAACGAGAAGAGAGAAGAGAAGGGAAGGCCTCCAAGGCGTTGCTTCGAAATGCAACTCAGGTCCGGATGGCGGCGTACATTGTCTCCGTGGGCGGGGGGCGCACCTCCCCCTGCCTTCCGGCTTCGGACAAGGTCAAGGCGGCATAACAGAGGTGGGGGTCCTCGGGGGCCGAGGGAGGGGGGGCTTTGTAGCCTAAAATGCAGAAAGGGGGCAAAGAGAGAGAGACGTGTCACAAGAAATATAATTTGGAAATTTGATATGCGTATGTATGAATGAATTGAATGGGAGACTAAATGAATGAGAGTTAATCATTTTGGAGGCATAATTCTCAAACATTAAGTCCTGCAATCATTAGCTGCCTGCTTACTGGACTGTAATTAAAAGTTGTTAATGCTGACTGGCACAACCTGGGGATCACAACCAGACACAGTGAAGACATCTGCCCTTGCACTAGCTGGTATTGCACCACCTGACATCTGCTGGGCAGTAGCAGCCAATACCCATCTAAAACACAGACATGTGCCTTTCACCTTAAGAACAGACAAGCATCACGAGCTCTGAGGATTATTGCCTGGGAAGGAATCCCACTGGAGCATTGCAGCGCACCCAAATACCTGGGAGTCACTCTGGACCGTGCTCTGACCTACAAGAAGCACTGCCTGAACTCAAGCAAAAAGTAGGTGCTAGAAACAATATCATACGAAAGCTGACTGGCGCAACCTGGGGATCACAACCAGACACAGTGAAGACATCTGCCCTTGTGCTATGCTACTCTGCTGCTGAGTATGCATGCCCAGTGTGGAACACATCTCACCATGCTAAAACAGTGGATGTGGCTCTTAATGAGACATGCCGCATTATCACGGGGTGTCTGCGCCCTACACCACGGGAGAAATTACACTGTCTAGCCGGTATTGCACCACCTGACATCCGCCGGGAAGTAGCAGCCAATAGTGAAAGGACCAAGGCAGAGACATCTCCAGCTCATCCCTTGTTTGGGTATCAGCCAGCACGTCAACGACTTAAATCAACAAATTGTTTTCTAAGATCTACAGAGAGACACTCGCTGGAACACCTCAGCAAGCGAGAGTTCAAAAGTGGCAGGCTCAAACCCAGAACCTCAATCTGTGGGTGATACCAGATGAGAGACTCTCCCCTGGGCACAAAGAAGACTGGGCGACTTGGAAGGCGCTGAACAGACTGCGCTCTGGCACCACGAGATGCAGAGCCAACCTCAAGAAATGGGGCCACAAAGTGGAATAATCCACGACATGCGAGCGCGGAGAAGAGCAGCCCACTGACCACCTGCTGCAATGCACCCTGAGCCCTTCTTCCACATGATGCACAAGGGAGGACCTTCTCACGGCGACACCAGAGGCACTCCAAGGGGCCAGGTTCTAGTCAAAGGGTATTTCATCAACTACCAAGCTCTCATGTCCCCGCTTGGGGAGCTGGAGCTGACAGAGGGAGCTCATCCGCCTCTCCCCGGATTCGAACCTGTGACCTGTCGGTCTTCAGTCCTGCCAGCACGGGGGACATGAGAGAAGCCTCCCACAAGGATGATTAAAAAAACCATCAAATCATCTGGGCGTCCCCTGGGCAACGTCCTTGCAGACGGCCAATTCTCTCAAACCAGAAGCGACTTGCAGTTTCTCAAGTCACTCCTGACACGACCAAAAAAAAAACTACCAAGCTTGCAAACTTTGTGTTTTGTTTGATTGTTTGTTTGTTAAAAAATGCAATACAACTGTTGGGCTTGCTCCTCACAAGATAAATAAATGCGACCTGCCATAGTAAATTGTGATAAGTAGTCTGACAGTGATAAGAGGAATGTTAAGAAGGAAGTCAACACAAGGCCAACAACAATCCAGAAGAATCAACCTCTGGCCAGGAGATGAAGACACAAGGTATTTTCAACAGGACAGTTGTTTACTACATCAGAAGTAAATAAAATTTACTTTCATAGAATCCTAGAATCCTAGAGTTGGAAGAGACCTCCTGGGCCATCATCCAGTCCAACCCCATTCTGCCAAGAAGCAGGAATATTGCATTCAAAGCACCCCTCACAGATGGCCATCCAGCCTCTGTTTAAAAGCTTCCAAAGAAGGAGCCTCCACCACACTCCGGGGCAGAGAGTTCCACTGCTGAACGGCTCTCACAGTCAGGAAGTTCTTCCTCGTGTTCAGATGAAATCTCCTCTCTTGTAGTTTGAAGCCATTCCTCCATTGCGTCCTAGTCTCCAAGGAAGCAGAAAGGAAGCTTGCTCCCTCCTCCCCCCTGTGGCTTCCTCTCAAATATTTATCCATGGCCCTCATCATATCTCCTCTCAGCCTTCTCTTCTTCAGGCTAAACATGCCCAGCTC